AAATAAAATGCGTAACTGAGACGAGATCGATGTGCAGGATCTATAGGTTAGGCAGAAGGAAACTTTAGTCGACTGTTTCATTCATCCAGGGTTCTCGTCGGATCGATAGAAAGAAAGAGTCGGCTATTTTCCTTCTGTCTCACCTATAGATCTCACCGGTCTTGCTCATGGAGACGAAACCAATGAACTGAGATGTTTGACGTTTGATCAGCGCACCAAAACACTATCTCGAACAAGTACGAGCAGTAGGACAAATAATGATTTGTCCAAGGGGTAGGTCACTCGACATACCAATCTTGGGTCATCTTTTTTTTTAGTGCGCCGCAGGTGTGCCGATTGTGCCGGTCATAGAGCAAGCTGCGATTTTTTGTAAAATACCCATCCCGGCAACCCGTTATTTCTGGCACCTGGAATGTTTTGGTTTGAATTCGCAAGGATAAATTGGTATAGCGGCATTTTGGATTTAAATCTCTTAGTGAACCAAGAAGTGAACTGCTGGTCTGAGTTCCTCAGGTATATCTCATTAGAGGATGTTCCTGAATATACAACCAAACAGCACGTAATGTTTTGAACAACTTCAGTGACCAGTAGTTCTTTCATTTTATTTACAATAATGAAATGCCTACGAGATTGTGCCAAAGGTGTGATGTGCTCAAGTTATGCCGAGTCTAATTATGGCACAATTTGCTTAGTGACTTACCCCTTGGATTCATCCCTGTGTGCTAGATAGAGAAAGTGCGAACAAACGTCAAAAAACTAAATGACGCTAAATCGCTGCCTCATACAGGCTTGTTAGAGGTTACTCAAACATGAGTCAGGCGTATTCATTTTCAGAACTTCTTTTTTAACGTCAAAGCATGAGTAGTTGAGATTTTTGAATATGAGTAACATTGACACAACAATATTTAAATAAATAAATAAAGGTGGATCTCAATTTTGAGTTTTCAGCCCATTTGTTGACCCAAACAAATCCGAGTTTTCAGGAATTGTGAGCAGGCCTGAAAAATCTTATTACAGCTAATCCGCTACTTTTCAAAACTATGCAACTATGAGAATAATAATATTTTTTATGTAGGATGCAAGAAGAGGAGGTAAAGTTTGTTTAGGACACATAAAACCTGTCAATTTTACATTCAGAGGGTCACAATTATTTTAGCTGTAATGAAATATTTCAATGAGTGAGTACTCTTCGTTATAACTAATAGCTAATTGCGACACTCTGGAATTGAAATTGACAGGTTTTTTGTGCCATACACAAACTTTACCTCCTCTTCTTGTATCTTACATATAAAAATATTATTACAATATATCATATCTTTATAATTATTAAAAGTAGCATTTTAGCTGTAATGAATTTTTTTAGTCCTGAAAAATACGAAGTTTGCCTTTCCGTCGTAGAAGAAAATTTGAAAATTTCGAAAGAAATCATTCGAAAATGGTGCAAATAGCAGCCGGCGTGGTAATTGCGTGAATTGTAATTGTTTTGCAATCTGTTTTATTTTAAATATGAATGCTTTTCAGTTTTAAGTTTAATAATGCTAAAGAAAAAAAATAAAGAAAAGAAACGAAATATATGCCCATTTTCGCCGTTTTACTCCAAATTTGGTTCTGACTATGTTACTAAATTTAGAGTAGATTCGGTTTCAATGAAATTCAGTGGTTTTTCACTCAGTTTTTAGTAGCCATGATCGAGCGTTCTAATTTCAACGCGTTAAAGATGCATTTTACCGAAAAGGTGTTGCGGATTTCTCATCGGCGTGACATAAATTTATTCGGCGGCGTGAACGATTTTTCTGCGGCGGCGCGCCGGCTCAATTTCATCGGCGGCGGCGGTGTATGAAAATCGTCGGCGGCGGCGGCGTGGCGCGGCGGCGCACAGGTCTAATTGTAAGCTATATAATACTTCATGTTTATTTAGAAAAGGCATGAATCTATTGAGAAGTATTTTTTCCAAAATTTTATTTAAACTTGATAACGTTGAAATTGGACGATAATTGCATGGATCGCTTGAGTCCCCGGATTTAAAAATAGGAACTACCCTAGCAACTTTCAAACAAACTGGATAATAACCTGTTTCCAGCATTTTATTGAAGGCTTCCGCCAATATTCGCGAAAAAGTAACAGAGTTATTTTTGATAATATCCGCTGAAATGCAGCTTTTATTTCGCTCCAAATTGTTAATTAATAAAGTAACTTCGTTCGCAGAAGCTGGATGCATGAAAATTGAATCAGAAACACGTTGTAAGCTCGAAAGAGGGTTCACTGTAGGATCAACGTGAATGATCCAGCTAATGTTTCACCTATACTGGAGAAATAATTGTTGAATACTTCACAAATTTCTTGGTTATCGTTGATCTTCACACCATTATCAACAAGCGCAATCGATTCAGTTTTGACAGATTTGCCAAAAATATGGTTTATGTTTTTCAACATTTTTGCGTGAGGGGTATTATTCAGGAGATTGTCATAGTATAACTTTTTAGTTATTTTTTTTAAAGAGCTAACTTTATTGGACACGTGTTTAAGAAGATCTTGAAGGTGTTGATCATTAGGATTCCTCTTCACTCGTTTATTGTAGTTATTTTTAATTCTGACCACAAATTGGAACTCATCCATGGACAATAATTCCCTTTGGTATTAACTTGCTTAGTTATGATTTTCGAGTGTTTAGTTAGCAGCGAATTATAAGTTGATATAATGTTGGTAAAGCACAAATCAGCATCCTGAACTGTCCCAACATTATTTAGGAAATTGCTGAATTCCATGTCAAGCTTACCAAGGTCAATGACAGTTTTAGTAAGTGTGACTTTTTCCCTCTCATCATGTAATTTGAAGGACAGTATAAGCATACAGTGGTCACTTACATCAGTAAATATGGTATCATTCCTTGATCGTGGAATGTCATCAGCTCTACAAATAACATGATCAAGAATGTTCGAGCTTATAGGCCTGGATGGAAAGGTGTTCATACATACAAAGCCGAATGATTCCAAAAGTGATTTGTACCTCACGACCACATTGTTATTTTGATAATTAACGGGTATATTGACGCCACTAACAAGAAAACAAGAACGATTATTATTAGACGAATCAAGTATATTCTCTAAAATGTTTAAAAAAATATTTATTTCGAACGATGGAGGACGATAAAAACCATGAATATTATAATTCTGTCCACTTAAGCCAAGCTCAACATTTATATGGTGAAAGCCGTCAACATGAACATTGCGTAGAACGGTAAAGGATATGCCACTTCTGATGAACATTGCCAATCCTCCATTTGAGTTGTCCCTGCATGAGAAAATGGAAATGTATCCAGGAATATTATCCGGTTTGGAGTGCTCATTTACCTTCACTAATATAATGCCGTCTCTGCCCGCCCAAACGTATTTCAGGTTAATTTTTTCTTGTATTTCACGCATTTCTTGCAACAGTTCAAGAGAAAGCGGAGTCAGCTCATCCCGGACAGCAACATTCGTTGATTTCCCATTGAAGATCAACGATCGGTCAATGGATGATGATGGAAGTTGCCCATACTCTCTTTTTTTCGAAAAGAATACCTCCTTCACAGATTTATCTTTGAAAACAATTCTAATTGGAACCAGTTTGTTTGCAGAAGTGTTTGAGGTATATACCCGAGAGGCTGATAAAAGAGCACCAGAAGGGAGATCAACACCAATACATTGAGCCAACTTAGAAACCAATTCAGGGACATTTTCGTTAGCTTGTACTGGAAGACCAAGAATAACCGCATTATTGGAGATAGAGTCCTTGTTAGCCTTATCCGCTTTCACTTCCAGTTTGTGAACAAACTCTGTCAAAGACCACTGAGATTTTTTTAGCTCGTCTACTTCAGTTTTCAAGCGTTCATTATCTGACTTTAAATCTTGAACATCGGTCACTATACCATCAAATTTGGACGAGAGAAATTGTTGCGAATCTTCTATTGCGTTGACGATCGTATTTACCTCAGCTCTTACAACCTGTAGTTGAGCAGACACAACATTGGTCACAGTGTTTTTTTTTATCTCAGTACTAAGCTCGGCAATCAATGCGGTACGAGCATTTTGCATTTCAACAATTTTTTTGTAGATTTCAGAACATTTGGAGGAGCAAAAGTACATGTTTTCTTTGACTTTGCGAATAGCATTTCGAATGATATTGCGTAGATTTCAGAACATTTGGAGGAGCAAAAGTACATGTTTTCTTTGACTTTGCGAATAGCATTTCGAATGATATTGCGGCATTTGAAATGCGCACTTGAGAAGCAATACAGACACGTTACGAGTTTGCTAGGATCACTTTCTTTTTTTTTACATTCAACGCAATAAACAACATCACTTTGATCTTCCGACATTCTTGAAGATGAGTACTGTAAACAAATTATAAACAAATTATTTTTTTTTGAATGGGATCCACTACAACGAACAAACTACAATAGGCTATAAACGAACATATAGAGTGTATATCGAATGTAAGAGACTGGCACAATACACTGAAAAAGTAATAACCAAAAGCAAAGCTTTTCCAATTCAACAATCGACTGTGGAAGAGTATTCGTAACTACGGCAGGCATACAACAAATGGTGGTGTCTTAGATCCGACTATTAATTTGACTGATAAGGATCCCACGACCTACTGGCTACCAGAGGTGTCAGTTTCACTTCCGATTTTTTTCTATCTATTTATTAGCTACCAGAAACAGCGCTGCCAGATTTAGTTTTCAGTCAATTCAAAATCTGATTGAAGCCAATTGTCTTTTTTTAAATCACTTCATCACTTATCACCGTGATCTAGTGCAACTAAACAAATGATTCCCTTTCTCCATTACATCTCCCGAACCCGAAAGCACATGTCGTAACAGTTTCTCCAGAATTGCTTAAAAAAAAAGTACCAACTGATTGCGATAAGAGTCCGCGGTCGAACGTAATGGAAGAGTTATGTTCACCGCTTGTGTATTTATTTTCGGTCTAAAATTTCCCCTTTATCTTCAATTACAGCCGAACCGGACCGTCACCGTCTTCTTCGTCATCGGAAGTGAACACAGCAAACAACAAACAGTGAAGCAACTGCTGCGGCGTCTTGCGGAGTGTAGTACTACATACCCTTGAATATTTGTTCTGGAAGTTGGATAAGAAAATACAACAACAACAACAACTCGGCATCGGAATCGGAATCGGGAGTTGTTTGTGGCGTTTCGATAAGAGGAAATTTTTACTGTCGCGAGTGTCACATTTTGTTAGTGTGTGAAGTGTGTCGTATGAATATCGTGCACCCACGAATGTTTGTGTTGTGTGGCAGTAACCAGTTGAGAAGATTCAAGAATCAGGAGTGCAGAGAGATCTGCTAGGAATTGCAGGCAGGCAGGCAGCCGAAGAAGAAACCCGCGTCGAGTTCGTCGTCGCGATCAGTAGATTTTGGATAAGCACGGGGAAGATATTTAAGTGTTATCAAAATGTATGCTAAAGGAAAAGGGACAGCGGTGCCATCGGATGCACAAGCTAGGGAAAAGTGAGTATCATATTCTTAATTTAAGTATTTGAACAGTCTGCTCATAAATCACCCTGCCCAAGTGAGAGGGGATTCGACCTTGAGCAAACACTGGTCATCAAGCATCGATTTCAGTTTCAAATTAAGATTGATTCCTGCGTCTTCGTTATCTACCTGTCGTAAAATCCCATCACTAGACACTAATCAGCATCCGGAACACCTTTCGCGCGCGCGCGCGCGCTCGTCTGGCTCACTATTTACGTGTGGGTTGTAAAACAGCGGATCGTTAAACCACGGAATAACGAGCGCGTTCGAATATAAGCAAACCACCACCATAAGGGCAGCCCGAAGACGGAGAGAAGAACGCACGTACCTACCTAACTACTAGCTAGTCGGGAAAAGACGCACAGCCGTTGACCGTGACCCCGAACGCTACAGAAAGCAAACAGTTTGTTGGCATTAGAACCCGGGGTAGGCATAATAGATTCCAGATCCGTGACGTTCTGTACTGCCTAGCGGGCTTGGACTAGAGATGAACCGTTCCGCGTCAAAAGGCCGTTTACCAAAATGTATATATGTAGCCATGTGAGCCACATTTTTGCCTCTTACCAACTCCTGCCAATAATGGTAGGCAGAGCAGAGGGTGAGGTATGTTTGCGTCGTAGTTACGCTCTGCTTGGAGTTGAGACCCGGCAGGTCATCCTAAGCCAAGAATGGGAGAGCTAGGAAACGGATAAATGGTGGAAGCCGGTTGGTGGTGATTAGAACGAAGACGCACATACGCGCAGGTCTCGTCACTATGGCTATAGACTGGGCTTGGGCTCAGGCACACCACCGGGAGGCTTCTTTTTTTAGTTTCTTATTTTTTGCGCTTTATCTTGAATGTAGCATCTGCTCCGGTCGGATGCATACATATGTAGCGGATGGCAAGATATGTGTGCTTTCCTCGATACCTACTGTACGTGGTGCTGGAATTTGGTAAAGCAAGAGAATATTGAACTTTGCTTTCAAATTTCAAACAATTACCACGAATGTTTAAATTTTTGGTTAAATTACCTTATAGATGGTTGACGAAACATTAAATTTGAATTTCCGAAACATATATTTAAATTTGCGTCAAATGTTGGGTAATGTACAAAGGTCTTCTTTAATTAACAATTATTTAGTAAAATCCTCTGCACGTAGGAATTATTTCTATATTTCGTGAGGACTCTATCCGCGTCGGTAAGCTAAAAAAAAAGTAAGAATTACGTGCTCTATATACATTTTTTCCAATCACGGAAACACCTCGTTTTCTTATGACGAAAATACGCATTTTCGTGCATAAAACGCAGGAAATTTTTGGTTTATTCAATAGATAATGAAAAAAGCGAAAATTGATTGGAGGAATTTCAGGGCTGGTAGCCATCACTGCTGTCAAAAGTAGTGATTTTAGTGACCATGTTGAAGAAATAAGTGACTAAATAGTGACTGTTAGTTTTAAAAATAGTGACTAAAAAGTGACCCTGAATTGAATTAAAAATAAATTTTATTGAAAACTGTTAGGAATTTCTGAGGAGCACAACTCCTGTGAACTTCAAAGGAAAATTCCAAGGGCATTCTGAGAATAATTTCATAAAGTGTGTGGGAGAAAAAAAATTCGGAGCATAAGTCCTTGGATTTTTTTGAAAATACTTAAAGAAGGATTACATTTAAATCTGAGAAAAACTCCAGGACATCTTCAAAGGAACTCGGAAAATAAATTCAGGAGAGTTTTCCAAACAAATTATTAGGAGACTTTCAATGTGAGTAAAATTCCAAGGGAAGGAGTGAGATTCAAAAGGAAATCTGTAATGAATTCAATGAATATTCTGATAATCTTTCCAAAGGGTGCCTTATTGTGGAGAATTTCAAGATAATTCCGCTAAAAACAAAAAAAAAATTTGAATTCGAAGGATAGCATCATCGAAATTTCCGTTGAATATGAAATGGACTATTCTGAGAATTTCCCAAATTTTTCCTATGAAGTTCCCGAAATGTTTCTGAATACCACTGTCCTTCTGTGAAGTTTTAGAAGTTTTTCTAAATTTCTGGAACTTTTGTGCTCCCGCAATTTTCATGGAATTAGAATGAAATAATTAGTATAGTTTTACAATTTTCACTTAAGTTCTCATGATTTTTCTGAAGTTCATGAAACTTCCATTAAACTATAGACACTGATTTAATACTTCTTCAATAGTTTAGACTTTCCCAGTATAATTAAAACTGCCTAAACGAATTTCTTTAAAGTTCGCTAAGTTGCCCTGAATTTATCAGTATTTTAAACAACCCACAACTTTACTGAAATTAATTGATTTGCCTTGAAGTTTGGACAATTTTCCTCAAGTATTCTAACCATTAAAAATGCTCAACTATTTTCCCTGAACTGTGCTTACCTGAAGTTCTCTAAATTTGTTTGTCCGGCAAATTTTCTGATATATATATATTATATATTTAAAATTCCCTGACGTTTTTAGATCAATCATAAGTCGCTGCAAATTTCCTTAAGTTAATGGGATTATTCTGAAGCTATTTGATCGTCCTTGAAGTACTCGGAACTTCGCTGAATATCATGAAACTATCTAAATTCTAAGCTCTCTGGATTTTCTTGAAGGTATCGCTGCTTGCTAAAATAGTTCTCGCATTTTTTTTAAATGAATGGAACTTCGTTGATATTCTCCAATCAATCTTAACTAAACTTTTGTATTTTTAAAAGTTCTTGATATTTCCATGATATAACACCCTTAAAATACTCTCTTTTTATCACGTCCCAGAAGTTCTATCGGAGTTTTGTTGAAGTTTCTGGAACTTCTTTAAGGTGTCAACCATTTTCTTTACATTATTTGAACTGCCCTTTGATTCTCTGATCTGTCCCTCAGAGACGAACCAGCCAACGTTGCAACGGCTGAAAGTCTCTATAATAAAGAAATCAATCAATCAATCTGATCTGTCTTGATGTTCTCGAAGCTTCCCAAGAATGTGTATCTTAATTTATTCAAATAAATTAGTTAGATTTTTGATTTTAATGATAATAGGAACCACCCTAGAATTCATTGTCATAAAAATGAGGGCATAACTATAAGGAACAACTTTGTAGAAGAGACTTTTAGTCTAAAGTTTCAATTTCAGGCTCAAAACATATCATTCCACCTAAATCTGCATTCTGGACCACTGTGCAATGATGTGACTCAGAATGCACGATTGTTGCCAGGTGCGTCTTTGTCTTTGACGAAAAACGAATGAGATTTTGACGAAGATTTTTTTGAGGATCAAGTCTGTCAATATCGCGCGAAAGTCTGTCAATAACAATGACAAATCTCAGCACTGCAATTGACTTCACTTTATTCAAAACCAAACTGGAAATGGATGTAATGTCGGCCTAAATGCCCCTAATTTGGGCCCATACATAAATTTAGCAATCGACTAAATTTTCAATAGCGACCAAAATATCCATCAGTACCGTCCCAATGACGCGTTCAACTAGATAAAATTGATAAATAGCTGATTTTTAGCGATGGGCCTAATCTTAGATCCATAGGCCAACATTAGAGCCATTTCCCCTACGTGCGGTGGATCGCCATCTGTTGACCGTTCTTGAGTTGTGGTAGAAGCAGTCTAAATTTTCAGTGTTGACTTTCGTTGGTTCTTGGTTCTCTTTTTAATCAGTGGTATGGGTTGAGGCGAAATCATTCCAACCGATGAGTGCCCGTATGGTTCTCGCCTTACTCCGACTCGGCTCGTGTACAGATCGATCACATCGTTCGCAGACAGTTTGTGTTTGACACATAATACCTGCCAATTTTGCTACATGAGAGTCGCAATAAGTGATTTTGTCCTCTCTCACCCACTCTTCGCGAAGAGGCGATCAGAAAATCGCAACTCTGGCAAAGCTAAATTTGCAGAAACTTTACAATCTTTTCTTGTTACGTAGGGGGAGGAGGGGCATAGTGAACAGGTGGGGCATAGTGAGCATCCCGCAGTTTGGCCCTGGATCTCTAGCTGCATGAAACAAATCAACTGGTAGTAGGTTCAATATCATTATGATATTGATCCTACCACCAATATTTTTTTTCCGAACGGCCGGAAGTCCAAGCTGGTGCACGGGATGCTCACTATGCCCCACCTTTTTACTATGCCCCTCTTACCCCTAAACATACAAAATAACATCATAATATCTTCTTATTCTATAATTTCATAAAACATGTTTTTAACCAAAATGAATGGGATATAGAATAACTATAAAGTTTTTCGATTTTATAGAGCTCTAATATGTTTCGCTGAAATTGCTACAATTTTTCTAATGATTTAAATAACAATAATTATGAAACATGTACTTTCACCAACATTTTTATCACAGTGCACCTACAAATGAAGCTATTTGTTCTACATCGTTGTCCTCTCGCCATCCCCGCCGACAACTATCTCATAATGGGCAAATCCAGCTCCAAGAAAATGTGCATTCTACCCCGAAAACTGTGTTGTATATACGCACAATTTGTATACTTACATCCTACTGTATACACACTAAGAACAAGATCAGCTATATAATTGCCCCCAACCACCCCCACCCCATCGTGTTTCGTCACAACCACATCCACCCAATCCCGCTACCCTCCCCCAGCCCCAGCTTCTAGATCCAATGACGACGACGATTGGGACTGGTTCCGCTTTCTACGAGCAATAATGACTGCAATGACGATGCTGATGATACCGTCGATGACAAGCGATGATAACGTTGTCGTTGTTGGTTGCCTTCATGCAATGGTTGTAGTTGTTGCCTTCGAGGTGCGCTTCGGTGATGGTCAAAAAATGTTTGATAAATACATCAGAGAAAAATGCAGAGGAAAATATTCCACACTTACACTACGGACCATTCGGTGAGACCTGCGGTGCGTGGGAGTTCCATGCTAATTGGATTGTTATTAAGGCATGGACGTGTGCTGCTACGCAGCTCGTTCCCCCTTGGATATCCGGTGGCAACGGAGAACAAACTTTTTTTTTGG